AAATATCTTTCTAGCAAAAGAAGGTGAAGCATAGAAGATTCAACCCCAGCCCCTGAGTCTTCTTCAAAGGTCGTACATACGATGATTTGTCTTGCTAAAATTTACAATGTGAGATATTGTAAATTAGCAAGAAGGAGCAGCCACCAATACTTGGAATACTGTAGAATTAGTTAGGGGTAAAATCTTCCTTCCTTCCTTCTTTAACTTCATCTCTTTTTCCTGGTTTGGTGATAGTAAAACAGAGAACGGTTGCCCCCTAGTGTCTTTCAACACACTCTTGAAATGAACTTGGTTATGAAATTATATTTTCATGCACTGATGTTGGTTGAACTTATTTTTTAAGTTGACAGCAGTCTTTTTCCTATTTAAGTACTGAATAGTTTATGGAGCCCAGTGGGGTCTCTGGATAAGGGCTGGCGTTTGAATGTCTTTCTTTCAGTTTTTGTCTATTTTTCTAGATTCTTATTACATAAGGAATGAAGGCAGAATATAAAGGGGCAAATAACACAGAAGCAGAAAGATGGCAGAAGCATGGAAAGAGGAGTTCTAGGCTCAATTTTCATTTCTCTTGGGGAAAAGAATGAAAAGTCAATAGCGCCCTGTTGCCTCGTGCCCCCTACCTCCAGTAACACTGGAGCAGGACGCTGCAAGGCCTTCTCTGCAGTTCAGCTCCTGGTAGCCAGGGCCGGTGACTGAACACGCACCATCCTGCTCCACATCGCAAGACTCAAGACCAATGTGACGCTGAACTCCCACAGTGGCCCACAGTGGCTTATCCTGTCTGTTCTAGAAGTTTCTGCACTTGTACTGGGTTGTCACTGTTTCCTGGGTGACAGTTACATCACTCACATGTACACTTTCATCACACATACCACTTATATACGTAAATGCATACATAAATATGTACACACTATACAATGTGACATAACCCTCCAGCAGGGGATGACTTACTGCATTCAATTATAACCTCCTAACCCCACTGCATTTAACTAAGGTACTTATAAAAGTTCTTTCTTGGGAAACTTGTTCAAGTGAAGGATCTTAGGATCATTTTATTTCATAGACATTTTGGGTATGCAAAGATTATCCAACTCATTAAAACCTACAGATCCTGTAAGCCTAATGGTATATAATAATAAAATGAATCTTCTGTTGATCTTAACTATCAGATCAGTTTTTTAATTATTGTAACAAATATAGAACATGATTAAAAGGTATGTTTGTATTATATTGATCTTCTTCTAAGGACAAATAAAAATATATTTTACTTGCTTTATTCTGCTTGTGACAGTACAACTGAAAAAGACCTATTGAAATATTGAATTGAGGACTTAAAGATTTTTATACTTGATCTTAGCCAAAAGGCCAAGAAGCGATAGATTTTTGAATTATATATTAACATCAGGTATATATTTAAAGATAATTGAAGCATTGTATAGTTTCGAAAAGATGGATAGGATATAAATTTACTCTTTATTGAAGACAGCTGCCACTAAAATGTTAGGAATCATTTTACTGTTAGTAAAATGAGACAATCTTGAGATATTTGGCAGAAACAATTTCTGGGCAATTAGAAAAAGTGACATATCTCTTCACTAAAATTATAACTGTCTCTGTGTTTTGATGGAAAGAAAGCAAGACTGGTAAATTATGTTAAATATTGTATATTCTAAACATATCCTTTTGCAACACTTGGAAAGTAAACACAACCAAAGAAAGAATTGTGCTACAATAAACACACAACCCTTTTGAGTTTCAAAGGATTCAAATCCAATAGAAACATGTAAAAACTTAAGGGACACATTTTCACGGATTTATTTTATATTGATTATGTGTCTCGGTCAAGATGCCTCGGTTTTGAGAAAATAAACTTTGTAGTTGGGTGATTATAAAGAATGAAATGAAAGAAGAGAATGCACCATGGGACGATATCCAGATTTAATATTACTTTAATTTTGACTTTATGAACTGCCTCTAGTGCACTTTGTAAATGGGATGTCCTCAGCTGGGCCTTATGTTGAAGCTGATTGATTGTTTGATGCCAAGTAGAGCAGGCATAGATGCTGTGTCTTGTCTCCTTTTGAGGAATATACCTCCCACAATGGAATAATGATTTTTAAATAATATTTTTTTATCTTAAGAATCATTGAAGTATCTTCATTGCTATGTATGGGACATATAAATATATTGGAATCATCTTTCAGTTTTCTAACACACAACCCAAGTAGCTGATTTGTTCCTGCCTTATAAGAACATTTGGCTTCAAAAGGAGCCTTCCAAAAGATTCCTGGTGTGTGGATGTGGAAAGTTGTCCAATACTGAAGTGATCAGCTCTGGATTTTGTCTTCATATTTTTTGTTTTTTAAACACCAGTGCATCTAAGTATATTTCTTCTTGTTTTGTAAGAGTTAGGAAATTGTTTCAAAACAAATTCATAAGTGAAAGGATAGCCCTAACTGTTGCCAATAGTCAACAGCCAGAAAGGAAGGTCGGATTGGTGAGCGGAGAGGAAATGGAGGTGCCCAACCCTGGGCGCCACTTTGAAATATGCCATTCAGTTTAACCTCCCCACTTCACATGCCTGGAGTGACCACGCTCCTCTTTTTCTTTTTATATTCCATTTTCCTATAGCCTTTTTTAAAATTTGTTTTTAGACTGTTTCTCTGAGTCAGACAATGAAATCCTAAGAAGGGCCCATCCCCGTTGTGGCTGTGCAGCTTCCTCCTGGGGCGACTTTGTGTTGACTTTCTCAACCGATTGGATCCGCCATTTTCTCATGCACAAAATGGAAGTGGTATTTCCAACCTGGCAATGTGGTTGTAACAGTTTGTGGTATTGTACAAAAACGTACTGGTTATGAGAGATGACATTCTTTTTACTTTGGGAAATGTTTGAAATCTTTCCTGAAGTTCTTATTTATTTATTTAGATACTTATTTATTTGATTTCAGAGCCCTCACTGTCATCTTTTCTCTCTCTCTCAACTACCATTGATTTCGTTTAGCTTCTCCTCTCCTTTGCCCTATAATCTGCTCTCCCTGATTCTCGTTCTGTCCCTTCTGTGTCCTCAGTCCCTTTCAGGCTTGTCACAGGGTTCAAGAGTGCTTCTTAGCTATCAAGTTCCTGAGCCTTTGCAAAAAGACATTACAATCTAAAACTATTCACTAGTACTTATTATTATTATAACTAGTGTTTATTGAGCGTTTACTATGTGGTAAACCCATTCTCAGCACCAACAGCATTGACTTATTTAATCCTAAAACAATACTGTATGTGGGTACGATTATCTCTGTTTTATAGGTGAAGAGACCAAAGGAAAAAACGGTTTATAGCTTGCACACATGGACACATCGTCTGTGACAGAACTGGAATTCCAACCCATACGTCCATTAGAAAGTGAAATCCAAGTTCCTTTACATGCAGTGCAGGGGCTCCGTACTCCACTGTAACCACCACCAACCACTGCTCTTAGATTTCCTGCCTTCCGTGGCATTCTCTAGAATCGCCGAGCGACTCGCCCAAGCTCCTGATCTGCACAGTATTCTGTGTCACCCGGGTGTCTCCTCTGCCTCCTTGGTTTTGTGTGTTCCTGCTGCCTCCTTGTGCTACACTCAGTACACCAGGCCTGCTCCGGCTGTAGGACACGTTTCTGGGAAAGTCCTCTCTGGGCATGGCCTCAGAAAGACTTTTTTGGATCAACATCCTACCTCTACCATTTATTAGCTTTTTAGACCTTCTGATGTCATGATCTCTCTGAACCTTAGTCACCTCCTCTATGAAATAATCATAAAACTGAATGTCCAGCCTTCTGAAAGTCTAGGATTCTGTGAATAATCTCTGCAAAGAAAAAATGTTCCTTGAAAAATGTGGTTTTGAAACTAAGGGGGGGGTAACAAAATAACATGTGCTGCCTATAAAGGATGTTTTTACCTTTTCCCGTTCTTACTTTCACATTTTTATTTTCGCGACACCTGCATGATTTGGTGATGAGTGTAACAGCTGGTCTCGTTATTGGAAATTTATTAGCCGATGTCACCCACCCTCTCCTTGTGCTGCAGCATATCTGACAAGTGTGGTTTTACGTCACTGGGGTCCTTTTCAGATTGTTCAAGAGTGAGCGAACATTTCAGAGCCCTGTTATCAGTGAGAGTCAAGTCCTGGATATTTTCTTTGTAGAGTAACTCCATTCACTTTTGATGAAAGACCTTTGGCTAGCTAAATCAAGCACTAGCCCGTGGAGATTCTGGAAATCCTCCTCTTGAATTATTCATGCTAAGAAATACCCCCCGACAACCCTGGGCCCCGGTTTCTCACTTTCCTCAAGTAGAACATTGCACAACTTTCCCTGCCCCTCCAAGACACGTCATGCTGACACCTTGCTCCTCCAACCCCGGGCCTGGTGTCACTGAGGTTGCTGCAGCAACAGCACACACGGAGTAACATTCCCCTCCACTGCAGGGCCGGGATGTGAGTCAGTTGCAAAGTTCCAGGGGTTTTTATTAGTGTATGATGCAGTCCCATGTCATCTACAGTTCCTAGGCTGTCCAAGACTTACCCAGGATGGTGCGGAACGCTCCACGCTAGTCACCTCCAAATGTGAGATGGTCCAGTGTCCTCTTACTGAAGCCACTGCAGTCGCTGGTTCCTTCCACTCACCCTTTACTAACTATCTACAATACGAGAGGTCACAGTAAAACCCAGGCCCCTCTGCTGGAGCTCCGTTTCTACTGTTGCATATCCTGTGTGCTTAAAAAGCAACCGTGACCTTGGTTGATGATCAAGAAGCCCCTCCTTTTACCCAGGGAGTTGGACAATGGTTGACATTCCAGACGACATATTTTCAACCCAGTTGCTGGAAAGAACATGTGCTGAAGAATAAAGATGGAATTACTGTAATTCTCTATGGAAATTTGTAAAAGTGGAACTTGCCATTTAGTGTTGATCGGAGGAGGGCATAGCGTTTTTGGAGACTTCTAACACAGGATTTGGTTTCTTTTTCAGACATGGAGATGACTTGATTGTGACTCCCTTTGCTCAGGTAAGCACGGTGTGGTGATGGGCAGGTTCCTCACACATAGGTAAATATACTCTGGGGGAATGACCTCTGGTTCTAATTTAATTTAATTTTAAATCAAACATGAGCATCAATACAAATTCTGTAGTTTGTTCAAATAATTCAAAAGCAATGCTCGAGAATGTGACTTTGGTCACATTGATCTGTTTCCTGTAAACCCATAGACACCAGGAATATCTTTGCTTCAAATAACAAATTACCTAAGGGATCTACTGAATCGGGCCCACACTTCCTTGGCTAACAGAAGCACCAGAAACAGGAGGCTATATCATGGATTAAATTACATTTAGTATAATTAGGTCCATGATCAGTGCTTGAAATTCAATAATCCAATTCAACCTGATACCTTATTTGCTCCTTTTTTAAAAAATCATGTCATTTGTGCAGGGATATGTTTATGTTTATTTATTCCTTTTAGGCAAACACTTCATGAAATATTTTAGCCACATGACAGGTGTAAGAAAGCGATAAAATGACCTGAAGTGTTCTGGAATGCATGGAAAAGGGTCGATGGCCGGATGCTCCATGAAAATAGACTAGCGCCTCTCAACTCGGGCCACACATTAGATTCACCCAGAGAGCTCTTATCCCCATGGCTAGGGCTCTGCACCCCTGGTCAGTTCAATCCCAGAACTTGTGAATCAGATGCAAGCGTCTGTATTTTTTAAAGGCTTCATCGTTTTTCCAGTGAGCAAGGGATATCGAGAGCCCCTGGTATAGACCAGCAGGGACAGATGGGATGAAACTGATTCAAACTAGGACAAGAAACAGACTTACAGCCAACACTGACTGATGAGTGTTAAACATTGAAATACAGGGAATGCTGTGAATTATAAAAATTATAATCAGGACTAGGTCATAAATAGCTATAGCATCTTAGGTAACTCAATTAAATTCTCTGGGCCCTCTTTTTTTCCATTTGGGAAAATTAGATGATTGTTCAGGGAGAAGGATGGTCAGGCCCCAGTTAAAACCTTTTCTCTCCTCCTGCTAACTAAATAGCTTTGAGAAAGTCACTGAACTTTTCCAAGTCTGGTTTCTTCCTCTGTTAAATTCCAAAAGCAACTCTCTCATAAAGTTGTTAAGAGATTAAAGTAATACTGGGCTTATAAAATGCTCATCAGAATTCTAGAAAATATGGTATTTAATAAATTTTTATTGTTACTGGTTTAACTACACAGGGATAAAATTAGTTTTTCATGCCTAAAATGTCACAATAAGTACGGTTTTTAAAAAATAATAATAGCAGTATTTGATAGTAGGATTTTATATAGTTCTACTTTTTAATATTTCCTGAAATTGTTTAATGCTATAATTCAGATCGAAAAATTAATAATTCATAAATAACATAATGTGTAATAGTGATTTTTTAAATTAATGCAGGCAAGTTAAAATAGATAATTACCACCATATTTTTCAGAAGATTAATGTCTTATCCTCTTAAGGTTTTACTGGCGATCGTGAATTTTTTTAATACCCGTATTTCCATGTCCAAAAAATTTACATTCATATGCATTAATCATATGATAGCAAAATCTTATAAAACTAAGGATTTTTAATTGATTGCTACTGAGAACTTAGAATTCTATATGTAAGAGCTATGAACTAGGTGGACAGGTAAAATCAGAGAAATCAACATAAATAGCCATCTCTGAACTGAGAAGTAATTATGCCAACTTGAGTTTATTCAGGTAGCTTTTTTTACTTCTGACTAAAATCTCGAGGTATCTAAATACATAAAAAAAGTTAAAAATAATCTGTATGTGATACCTGCCTTCTGCAAATAGTATTTATTACAGTATTAATACCATTTGACCTGGTCCCTGCCATCAGTGCCTTAAATTCTAAGGAAATCTTTTACACAATTAGACATTTTCTGTAGTGTACCTAAAAATCTCCAAAAAGAAAAAAAAAAAACGAATAGAATTTCAGAATACTGGGAGCTGGCAAGTATTCAGTGTGTATCTGGATAAAATATCTTCTAGTCTATATTAGTGAACTATTTAAATAAAAAGATATGTACCCAGTATTCTTGAAATTGGAATTTTGAATATAAATCAGCTATGTGTAATTTACAGGCAAAGCTGATGCCTGAAAATAAGCCCATAATATATTTAGAAGACTTTGATTAGCTAAGTGACTCACAGCACCTTTCAGAGGGTCGGCATTGCCTCAGAGATTGCAGATTCTTTTTAAGCGGCCTCATCACAGTTTTTCACCAATGGCCTTGTATTGGGGTGTAAGATTTGAAAAGCCCTCCTAGGATTTTCATTTTTAAGTCTGTTAAACCTGAAGCGTTTCACCACTGATAGAACGTCTCCAGGGAGGCAGGTAAGACAGAAACCCCAGTTGGTATCAGTTTGCCTGATGCAGCCTTCTCTGAAGCCTTGCTGGGCACAACTTACACATTGTGTTGCCCTAAACATTAACTTCTCTAATTTCTTTTTTTAAATACAGGCTAGAACACTTACTGTTTAATGCTAAATATTATAATCCTAAAAATATAAGATATTTTTGTCACAGGAAACGGTATCAACATTATTTGACCTCATATACCATAATTGCTTTCTCCAATGGACAGTAAACAACTAACTTTAGACATTTCACGCAGGAAAATGTGCAGCCCGGTAAGCCAAAGAATTAGATCTTTTCCCAGCATGCTTTAGGCTTTGGAATTTCACACTAAATTCTGATGAAAAAGTTGCATGCCTCTCAAAATAAATATTTTTGCATCAAGAGTTTAGAAATACTGGGTGTCCATATTTAAAATAGTTGTAAGTTTTAAATCGCACACGAACTTTATGGGCACCCTGTATAAATGATGAGCAAAAAGGAAAAGAATTTTTTCACAGTTCCAAAGCCCCAAACTACTGCTATTGACATTTACCTTCTATCCCGTTAGGTTTCTCTCTCTGTGTGTGTATTTTCCTTTCCTGTGACTTCCAAAAATGGCCTCCCACTGCCGAAAGGGGTCAGAGATCTTCGGCCAAGATCATCTTCTGTGTCTTCTTGAAACCCTTGTCTTTAGTCCTGACCGCATCTCTGAAACATGAAATGATCCCTCCCTGCTCTTTCCAAAGCAAGGCTTCTTGTGAAGAGAATAAAATCCTAAATTATAGGAGAATTTAGGAAGTTGTGTAAAAGTATATTCCACCTTGTCAGCTGGGCTAAAAGCCTAAAGGAAGTACAATCCTTGACAAAGCAAAAGCCCTGAAACACCCAAACATTATCCTGGATCCCTGGAAACACCCTCACATCATCCAAGCAAAGGAAATATGCCTGGTTTGAAAATACAGGGTAGAAACAACCACATCGTTTTTGCTTTAACCAAAATACACGGGATACCTCTAGAAAAAAAAATGCAATGGTTATTAACACTCTAGCCTAGAACATTACCAGTATTCTTTAAATGTTCCTCTCTGTCTCTCATCCCTTTCAACCAGCAGCAATGTCTTGTGTTCTCCTTGCCCAGCTATGAGGGAAGACAGACATCTCATTTGAGTTGGTTCTGTTTTCCTTTCAGCGTTTTTTCAGCCTTCATAAATTTAAATTACAACTGTCATCTTCTATGCATCTAAGTTCTTTTCTGAGCAAACCCTATCAAATTGTCAATATTCAACCGTTGTTGATGTAAAAAAAAAAAAAAGCCAGCGGTTTAACTCAAACAAAACTTGTAAAAAAAGACTTTCTTTTCAAACAAAATGGCCTTTGTAAATAGTCATAATTTGACTTCATTTTTTTTTTCCTGGAGGCAAAACAGAGGTCTAGAATCTGTCTGATTCCACTCTCCGGGCTCCTCTGCCACCAGTGGCACTCATGGCCTGTGTTTTACCGCCACCTGCTGGCATCAAGTGCATATGGCATGAAAACCTGTCCTCAAATCCGTTTCTTACAATCTCTCTATACGTTTAGCTAGTTGACTATGCAATGAAGCCCACAATTTTCTGCTATTTTCAGTGAATACTATTGGTTAACAAATGTACAGAAGCTCCTAAGAAGTCCTGGAATTAATGTGTAAACTATATGGGCTAATTAATACATAAGCCATCTTTGTCCAAAATTTCTCTGGAGCACTACCAGCATTTCTTCCCATGGTATATATATTTCTCATCATTCCCAAGGTATTTTTGACATTGACTGATTACATTTTTCTTGGAGAGACAGAAGAGAAAGAAATGACTTTAATTTTCTAACTGTTGAGGAAGAAACCTCAGGAAATTTTTTGGTTAGCAAGCATTAAGAAGTGAAGAAAATCTTAGGAGCATTAAATTCTGACTCTTAAAGAGTTGAGTTCCGGGGCAACGAGAGCTGCTCTAGAACAAAGGCAAATAATAAGTGATTCTGAATTTAGGGGGTTCACTCAAGTTTCCTGTTCTCCCCCACAGCCTGCAGTAACAGACACCTCCCTCTTTATGTCCTATGATGCCAGTGAGAGCTTAAAAAACTTAACCCACTTGTCCTTATGATGGAGACACCAAGAGTCAATGGGCAAGGCTCACAGCAACCCCTCCTTATAAGATTTACCTTGAACTTTTATATACTTGTGTCAATAGCATATAGTTAATATAGTGGAGTGCAGAAGATAATAGTTAACACTGAACAGCAAATTTACAAAATACTGTTTGTCCTACCACACACGTAAAAACCCAATGATCTCCTACTTGCACACATAGCGAATGATGTATCTACAAGGTTATTTACTCCAGCAATGTTCGTAAAAGCTGACTTTAAGATCGACAACCTGAAAGTCAATTGTTAGGGGACAGGCAGCTGAATGCCTGAAGGAGAGGCTGGGAGGCAGCTTTCATTTTTCACTTTTTGTTTTGAAATACATCATACATGAGACTATGTTATGTTATGTAAAGTATAAAGCCTAAAACTACAATGAACAGGTTAAGAAACAGCATAGTGTAAATATTTTTGATGCCCCCCACGTGTTCCTCCCCAATTTTATCTGCTTCCACAGCTGCTTCTCAGAAATGACAAAAATTTTTATTCTTGTCTTAATTATTATAGGGATACTTTTGCTTCATACCCTTTTGTCTTGTTTAAATTCTGTACCATGTAAGGAGATAGGTTATACAGAAAATGAGTCTATAAAATTTACATCAAAAAACCAAATGAAATCATATTATGTTCATTAGTATATTAGATGTTTATTATAACAGAGGCAAAAATGTCTCTATAGAAAATTTTCCTTTCGTGACTCATGTTTCCTCTCAAATGGGCACAGAGCATGAATTACCTGCAGTACTATTGCTATTTACCCCATTGTCAAATTCAGTAAACTTAATTATTATGTATTAGAATAAAATCCTCGGAATTCTAGGGTTAAATTTTCTGCCTAGGAAAGGAATCAATTAGCTGGTGCAATAATCCTATTTTAAGTGCTTTATTGGTGTGTTCAATATTCCACTTCTTAAACCATAATTTAAGGCTGCATGATTTAATGTCAGTGGATCATTTATCCGATTTTCTTCTGCATCATTCAAAGATTTCATGCCTAATGAAAGGCATCATGGTCTGACGTCAGCGGTCGGCTATTTGAATACTCCATCATAGGCAGCGTGACCTTTCAGAGCTGTGAGTTGTTTACATGTGATAATGAGCCAGGTTTTTCCAGTGACTGAGTGAATCATGGTTGGCTTCTTCCAAAGCACCATTAACTCCTTCAGGGGAAAATGCTGTAGGTCATTATGTCCCAGGGCATAAACAGCTCCCCAGAGACTTAGAAATTCATGTCAATTTCAAAAGAAGAGTTTGAGATCTTTTTGTCTCAGAAACAAACCTGGACTGACTTTAGTTTAGCTCTGTGCCAGATGAAAACATTCTGAAAACAGTACTAGAACTATGGAGCAATTAGAAATTGCGGGCCTCCTTTGTATTATAATGCTAGACATTGAGTCAATTCCCAGGCCCATGCAGACTCTTTAATCAAATGGAATGCTGCCAAAATGGGCTGATGGTCATCGGGCGCTTTCTCTTTTCCAAGCACTGTGCTTGCCACCTACCCTGTCATTCCATGTAATCCTCGCAACAATTCTATGAGGCAGACCTCACTATCCTGGTTTTCCAGGGAAAAAAGCTGAGGTGCAGAGAGGTGATGTGACTTGTGCCTGTTCACACACTGAACGCGTAACAGAGCCGTGCGGTTGTTAGGCAGTACCTGCCACGACACTTGAAATGTATGTTTTAGATAAATTTAGCATTCTAGTTGTCACCCAGATTACCTATAATCCCACCTAATATAGGTTCTACCCTGGAGAAACTTGCCCCTCTGGGAGGAAGTAGGGGGTGAGATAAAGAAAGAGATCGCGTTCTTGGAATTTCTCCCTCCTAGGCTTAGTTTCAATTCTTTGTCCACTTTCTGGTTGCAGTTGGAATTAGAAAAAGGCAGAGGCTATCAGAGATAGTGCCACCTGTCCTGGGTGGGGACATACTGTGTCTTTGTATTCATTCATTAAACCAAATTTTCTGGAGTGACTTCTTCTGCCTGCGGGACACTGAGCCTGTGGGGCAGCAGCCTTTTGTGTGAGAAAAACAAGGGCTTCTTATGATCCTCTACTCAGATAACCTGGCAAAGGAAAAGAATGTTTGTTTACTAGCCACGTGGCAAAGGTGGAAAAACAATTTAAAATTCACTTGATTTACTGACTTGTATTTATGTGATTCTTGGTGAAAATTTGAAAAGAATTTGGGAGAAATTTTGTTTTCTTCTTTTTTTACCTATAAATCAAGACCTTATTAGTATTTCATATGTTATTTCAAATTTGCACAAAATGCAACAATGCTATGTGTATATTGCCTGGGGTATTTATTATCTTGGTGACTAAGATATCCAGGAATCCTGGGGAAGCTGTTGCTACTGTCCCCATATTCGTAGACAACAAGGAGAGATTTCTGGGAAATCCTTGCAGCCTAGCCTCTCTGGATTTCCTATGGATATGTGCAAACTTCACTAAATGCTGGGCAATTCTTTAGTGCTGTGTGAAACTAAGTTGCAAGCAATATCAAGGTCTTCTTAACAAACCATTTTTGGCTGTACTTAAAATGGCCCTAGTTCAAGAAGTTTAAACAATCCTTTCTTTGTTGTAGGTCTTGGCCAGCCTGCGAACTGTACGAAACAACTTTGCTGCATTAACTAATTTGCAAGATCGAGCACCTAGCAAGTAAGATACCCTTTCTTCCCCCTCCTTTTTTACTGAACTTTTCAATAGTGTTTTCTGTGCGATTGAACTCAAGGCACTAGATTAGACTTCTCTGTGTTGTTGTCATGTTATCTGACCACCTATACTAAGTCATATGATGTCCTGTTAATTTTCTATAAATACTTTGTAGTGATGGTTCTAATATCAGAAATGAAGCAGTACGACAAATAAATACGGTGATTCCATCTGTCAGAAATCACCTGGCATGATCACTCTTCCAGTTGTTTATACGCAAGGTAACTTTAGAGTTTTGACTTACTTCATAAATTCACCATGGGCCAATACTCTTATCAAACCTTAAAGTCAACTCAAAGTCATCTTCTTAAGAAGTATTACGTACGGAAGCGCCATATAGTAGCAAAGATCTCTGAGTCTCCTGCTGTTACTGACTCTAAGATCAGCAGCATTCATGGAGCAATTAACAGAATTGTGATTTAGGTGATAACGTAGAAAGCATTTGAAAGACGCCAAGCCGAGATGGAAAATAATTACAGTTTGGGGGCTCTGATAAAGGTAACAGATCTAAAAAGAGAAAATTAATTTTCCCAGAGTAAATAGAAAGCATATTTATTATTATTAAAATGTCTATTAATTTTAAAAATCTATTTTTGTTAATAATGAAATATCCTTACAATATCAACTCCAAAGAATTTTCCAGTAGAAAAAGGAAATGTAAATCAATAGTAAGAGGAGAGTAAATATAAATTTATTAGGAACTATAATGTATGTAAGTGTATACAATTTTATAGTAGTTACTATTAAAAAAAAAGATGAAAAATCTAAACTTTCCATTCCATAATACTATAAAGGGCCCCCCAAATTCACATTTTCCATGATCAAAATAAGCTTTGGCCATTATTTAAATACTTCCTATAGGTGGCGCCTGTGGCTCAAGGAGCAGGGCGCTGGCCCTATATACTGGAGGTGGTGGGTTCAAATAAATAAATACTTCCTGTGGTAGAAAAAGGGTTTTATACATTAATGTAAATGCCACAGTGTGCATGACTGGGATGGACCCCAGAAGCTTCAGTTGATAGTCGTGTATTCTGGGCAATGTACTGTTTTGCAGTCCTTTTCCCTCCACCTAAACGTCTCATCTTCTTCTTACCTTCTTCATCCACTGGGTGAAGTGCAATTCATTCTTTAGATTGCAACTTTAATAAAGTTTCTTTCAGTGCTTTGCCCCTGACATTCCCCAACATAAGACCACTACCCACAGCCCCCAACAGGGCCATACGCCTGTGTTTCTCCATCTGGTTACAGCCTGTCTTACTTCTCATTTTCCCTCTCTCTTTGTTCCTGTGCCTGTTTGTCTGATGGGATGCTCTCTAACACTGGCCTTTCCCAGTGAGTAGGGGTTGTGGATGGTTGATGCTTGCACTCCTGGTGCGCAGCATAATATGAATAATCACTCTGCTAAGGATTGCTGGCTGAAAGAGTAAAGTGGCAATTCAACATGTAGAAGCTGAGGGTGTGATGTGAGACACATGTTTGTTACTGATTTGTTACTAATTCAGGCTGTTTTCTGTGTATCATGGCTGTACAACTGCATGCCAATTTCAATGGCCCCTTGGAGCTTTTGGCATTTGATAACTTATAGGTACAGTTAAGTCTCAGCTCTGAATGGAGAAATGAAATTATTGGTTGTCACTCCCAAAGTTTTAGTCTCAAACTTTGTGCAGGAAATTGAGATTTTTGTCTTTAAAAGGCAAACAAGAAACTAACTCCCTTTCCACTTCCTTTAGCTGTGCAAGCAAACAGTAGATCAGACAGGTCTGATGCTGGCCCTTTACCCCAAAGAAATGAACTGAGGCCCATTCTACACATGACGGAAGTTTTCAGCTGATTTCCAGGGACAAAACAGATTAAAATGGAGAAAGGGAGCTAAAGGATCATAGAAAATAACAGTTTACTTCTGAATCTCAGCCTGCCTGACAATGCCCAGAATAGCATTGACCCAAACAGTATTATCTGGTGCCTTTATGTAAAGGACAATATTGCTTTTTTTTTTTCTTTTTTACTGATTCAGATCAAATCTACTTTCTTGGGTATCTTGAGTATCAGAATAATAGGATTCAGTCTACACACAGCTAAACTCTATTCTGCTCAACGGGAGCAAAGTGGATGTAATTGGTTCATCACGCAATGACCCTAGAGGTATCAGAATTTCTCCTGCTGAGCACTCTCAGTGCCACTAGAGCATTTCCAAGCTCACCCTTGGATTCTGTGGAAGGGATATGCTACCTTGTACAGCTACCCTTTCTTTCTGCTAAGGGAAGAATGCCTCCAAAATCCCACCTCCCAGTGGGTGTTCCGATGCACATTGCTGACTTCTTAACACACTGCTGATTCCTAACACCTTGCTCTTTTTTGCCTCTGAGGTTTCTTTTTTAATTCCAGAACTGAGTTCTGGCTGACTCATCAATGAGTTACCAATGCAACCGTGAATCAAAAGATTACTATTGCCTTGCTGTTGCTTGTTAGGATATCAGATTCCTGAGTGCCACTTCTCCTGTGACTGATATTAAAAGGAGATAATTAGTAATAAGTCAACCATTTGGTTTTCCAAAGCCATAAAAAAGTGTAAAAATATGCATTTGAATCTTTCCCAGACAAAAAGTGGATATTTTCTAACTTTCAAAGAGCAAGGATGAAAGAGGAATAATCAATATATAAATTATTTGAATAACAAATTCACAGCAAGATCACTGGCAGTTCATAGACCAGAGCTATTCCAGAGCACCAGTTTAAAACGTCAATCTCTGGTTTCATCAAATTGCAATACCCTCCTTGTTTTATACTAAAAACTAAAATAATTCAGAAGTAAATTTTGGTGCATTTTCACTCAGATGCAAATTTTAATACCAAACTAATACCAACAAATGTCAAAGCAATAAAGAGGCTCCAGAGGCAGGGTAGAAGCACAAAGTAGAAGTAGAATTTACAAAATCCCAGATTGGGTTTCCCAAGTTGCCCCCAGCCCTGCTTGGAGATTGGTCATCTCAGCAGGCAAATTTAAGGAGGCTGCTACCACCTGCATGTGTGAATCTGTCCATCCAGGTTCCACAAAAGTACTATAAAAAATAAGGTAACAGAGCAGAGCCCAGGCCCTAAAATCACATTACTGTGGTTCAAATCTCAGCCCTCTTACTCTGAACGAGATTTGGACTACTCAAAGCTTTGTTTTGCTTGTTGGTAAAATGAGAACAATGAAACTTCTTACCTCGAGACTTGTGGGGAGGATTAAATGAGATAAAGTGCTCATTTAGCCCAGTGCCTGACACACAGTAAATGTTCAAGTGCTAGCCGTGAGTAGAAACACTAAAGAAAAAACTCAAATAATTTGTAGACTTCCCTTAGGTGTATCTATTCCTACTGTGTTTTTAAAGATCACTATATTTTAAAAGCTGCCAATTATAACAATTTTATAAAGTTGTATTTCAAAAAATATAATGGACATTCTATATATGATATGGTTTTTCACATAATTTGTTAAGCACTGATTAAATACTGGACATAGTCTGCTGAAATAGAATGTGGAATCTGGCAAACATCTGAAAACTTCAAAAAGGATACAAGATAGCATTATTCAAGTATCTTTGGTTTATAGTATTTCTAAAGTCTCTACTTGGACAAGTCATTAATAGACCCCTCTAACAAATATGTCAGATGGGGCGGCGCCTGTGGCTCAAAGGGGTAGGGTACTGGCCCCATATGCTGGAGATGGTGAGTTCAAACCCAGCCCCGGCCAAAAACTGCAAAAAAAAAAAAAAAAAACAAAAACAAATACGTCAGAGATGTTTCTTAACATAATAGAATGGAAGGAGGTTAAATAGCTTCTCTAATTATAAGATAGCTTATAATGAATCATTCACTTCTGAAAGAGGACAAGCTATCATGAAAATCTATGCCAAAAATAAAAGTTTATTAATATTGTATTAGGGAAAACTATTGTAGATTGACTACTTTTTCTAATTCAGAACATCATATTTGCTCTATAAACCCTGGATTACAGAACGTGATCAATCAATCAGAATTTCCTCTTATATCATGTCCCTGTGACATGTACCTCAGTTTTATTTACTCCAAAGTCAACACCATGAGACTTAACAGTTTTCATTTTGACATGTGTGATCTGATCCATACTATATAGAGCACCTAAGAACTTTACTGGCTGGTCTGAAAGAAATCTCCATTTGCATGTCCTAACTTAGAAATAATGCTTTAAAGTAAAAGGCCATATCTGAAATGACTCAAAGAATATTCAAATTAACAAGTATCCTGTATTTACTGCGTTGTATTTTTTTCTCTCTTTGTCAGAAGATCACCAATGTGCAACCAACCATCCATCAACAAAGCCACTATCACAGGTAAGAAAGGTCTGGGAAAGATTCACAGGTACCCTTATAAGATGAACCATAGGCGTGATCAAATATAAATGTCTTAATACAATAACTATGAAAATGACATGAAGGCTATGTTAACCAATTTGATGAAAATATTTCAAATTGTATATAAAAACAGCACGCTGTACCCCATAACAGTATTAATGTACACAGCTATGATTTAATAAAAAAAAAATGTTGGGGACCTTATTCTCTGCATATCTAGGAGGAAAGAGTCAATGTAATACCATCACCAACTTTATACTGTAATATGAAAATTTTAAAGGCAGGAATCGCTTCTTCTCTGGATTATTTTTTCATCATTGATCTCACAAGCCATCCATTTAAGCTGTTAGTTGGAAAATCTCTAGTGATGTACAATGTTTTAACCATTTAGCTCTGTGCTCGTACTCGGTTTAGCGTTGCTCTGGGCATTTGTATTCAGAGAGATAGCGTTACCTTCCAGATGTTTACCATTTTGCTTTCACCCTTATGCTCTCAGCATATTACTATGTGGCAGCTTAACTTAATGAAAGGGAAAGCATAAATAAAATGGGTACGCTCTTGGTCAATCAATATTCCAGTTGTGCATTGGAAGGCACATTCTTCCAGTAGTCCTTATTGGGACCCAAAGAGCTATAGATAAATTTAGTTTGAGAGAGGAGAAAAGTTAATGAGAACCAAAAGAAGGGGACCTATAGATGTTTAGGAAAGAAAAGCAGCGAAAAGAATGAAGTAGGAGGCATACAAATAAAATTATCCCAATTCCTATTAGTCTGTTTTAGACACAGGACTTGACCTCAACTGAAACAAAAACGGAATAAATGATCTCATTTTGCTGAACCTGAAAGCAAAGTGAACTCATTGAATCATTTCTTGAAACCTCAATTAATTCATTAAAATAATTGCCTGGAAATGAAAACCTATACTTTTAAAACCTATTACCAGACATAAACCTATTACTTTAAAACCTATTACCATTTTCCAAACTGGACCAATACTTCACTCACTCAGATGACTTCCTTGAGCTCCAACCCATCATGTGCTAAGCAGCTCCTTACTGTCCTTGAAACTTAATTTTGTCATATCCAGTCAACTGCTTGAGTTTGTGGTCGCCACATCAGAGTTGATTCTGGAATAGCTGTAAATGTCTTCTTCTCTGAGTAGCTATTAAATGGGATTTGTATTACAATAAATATTAAATTATTGGTTCTCTTTTCCATGTTTTTCTTTTACAATCTTATTGGTGATGATTTTCAGTTGTCATTTCATAGTGTATATATAATTCACCAGTTTGCTCTTGACATTGATTAAGAGATGAACAATAGGATTTCTTAAATTATAAACAAATTCTTTGAGTAACAAATTTATTCTTCAGAAACTCAAATTCAACCTAAATTAGCCCAAATTCAGATGGAGGTGTAGAAATGGGTCTCCCTCTATTTCTGTGCAGTTTCCTGAATATACTGAGAGATGGACAGGTTCATTCTGTGAACGTGTGCCTGGGGCCCTTACCTGCTCTGAGCACCAGGTCCAACCCCTAGAAAGAAGGACTACCCTCCCCTCATTTTTGTAATAAGTTAAGACATTATAGTTTGAGCAGAATGCAATACTGTTTGGTTTCTGAGAGCTTTTTTAGCTTGAGGTCACATGTGACCTGGCCTCACAGGTGGAACAACATTCTCTCAGAAGAGCAGCTTCAGGTACCAGCGGAGACCGTTCTGTCCAACAGGAGATGGTTGGGTGCTTAGCGGTCAGGACAGCTGCCCAGCTGCCCCAGCAGATGCCCAGCACAGATGAGCAGGGGAGTGGCTACACTCAGAAGGCACAGACCTGGTCTTAAACACGTATGAGAGACCCCATAGAGGCTCCCAAAAGTTTTTATTTATTATTGAGGCCATGGAACAAAGGGGCCTGTGAGCCACTCTAATTAAATTATGGAGGTTAATATGGTCTCTTTTGTACCCACAAGCTCCTGACCTAAGGCCTAGGGACAGTGGGGCTACAGAAACATCTTGTCTAGGAAGGGAAACTAATGAACCTCCCGTCATCGCACAGTGTAGCTCGGCTCACCACTAAGCTCAGCAGGAAATTAACTGATGACAAATGAGAAGTCTTCTTTCTTGCCAAAATACAGCACAGCAAGGTGGGAATGTGGAATGAGGACAGGCATGGGGAAGAGGGCAGTCCCAGGGGAAGGCTCCTCTCACTGAGCCTGAATGGTAATAATGACGATAATGGCGATTTCAGCATGGATTATAGTAAGGCCTGAGACACTCAGGACGGGAGATGCTCTGCCTTCCCTCCCTTGGCAGCTGACTGCTCAGGCCTCACCCTCCAGGCTCCCTTCTCCTGTTGTTGGAACCTGGCTCCACCTCTGTGATGGTCCTGGGAGGCATGGAGAAGCCGAGGCCAGTTAGTGGGCACCCTGTAAGATAGCTCAGCAGCTGGGGTGCTGGCCACATACACCGGGGCTGGCGGGTTAGAACCTGGCCTGGGCCTTCCAAACAATGACAACTACAAAAACAACAACAACAACAACAAAAGTAGCTGGGCATTGTGACGGGCACCTGTAGTCCCCACTACTTGGGAGGCTGAGGCAAGAGAATTGCTTAAGCCCAAGAGTTTAGGTTGCTGTGAGCTGTGTGACACCACAGCACTGTACTGAGGGGGTTACATAGTGAGACTCTGTCTCAAAAAAAAAAGAAAGAACGAAAGGAGGAAAGGAAGGAAGAAAGGAAGGGCAAGGGAAGGAAAGAGGGAGGGAGGGAGGGAGGGAAGTAAGGAAGGAGAAAGAGAGAGAGAGAGAAGGAAGGAAGGAAGAAAGGGAAGAAAGGAAAGGAAAGGAAACGAAGGAAGGAAGGAAAGAAAGGAAAGGGAGGGAGGGAGAGAGAGAAAGAAAGAGGGAGGGTGGGAGGGAGGGAAGGAAGGGGGGAGAGAGAGAAAGAAAGGAAGGAAAGGAAAGGGAAAAAGAAAGGATAGGAAAGAAGAGAAAGAAAAGATGAATATGACCTTCATAGAAATTTGGTTTCTATGTTCTTCTGTTAGAAGAACAAGGTAGCCTAACAGGGAAGCTCATGGCTGGTCCAAAGAGCTGCACAGCAGCCCCTGGGGGTCAACTCCATAGAACAGCATGTGGTGCCCCTAGAATTATACCTAGGGGTGCCCTGCCTGTCTCAAATGCAAGCAGTGCTCTATCATGATGGCTCTGAGGCCCTTTCTTCACTGTTTCCTCATCTGTACAGTGGTGAAACAACTTCATATGAGTGGGTAAACATGTGTGATGTTCTTAGCACAGTGCCTCACAAAATCGCACTCAGTACACCTTTTTTTCTTTCCTTTTGTGGTTATTATTTGGTCTGTTTTAGGGCCCACTTTATACAAAGGATTAGGAATGTCTTCATCAGTTTGTGGTGTTGCAAAAAAGTGCCAGAGACTAGGTGGTTTATAAACAACATGTTATTTCTGACAGTTCTGCAAGCTGGAGATTTGAGATGGGGGCTGGCCTGGGTGGGGGTTCTGGAGAGGGTCCTCCAGAGGATCCTCCTCGGGGCTGCAGGCTGCTGCCCTCTCATTATATCCTCACTAGGTGGAAAGAGGGTGAGAGGGCCCTGATCCCAGTCATGAAATTGAACTTACTGACCTCATCACCTCTGAAAGGCCCAGCCTCCAAATATCCCCCCCAGGGAGGGGGGTTGATATTTTGATCTCAGTTATAAGGGCATACAAACATTCAGTCCATAGCAAGGGGTGATGAAAAGAACAGGCCAAAGAGACAAAATGAGGAAAGGGAACAGCCAAAGACAAACTTGCGGACCCAACAGTGAGATCCATGTGCCTCCCTGAATGGTAACATGGGCTCACTTGGTGCCGTCAAACTGGGCACGAGGTGGTTGCTGCCTGCACTGGCCTCACTCCCATCACAGTCACAAGCTGGCGTCTCTGGGATGACATATGGGACAGACTATTGTCCAGAGTTATTTTCAAAGTCTAGAAACTTATTTTTGAGCCCCAGTCTTCTGAAGGAAAAAATTTAACTCTCTATCTTTTCCATAAACCAATCTCTTAAATTAGTTTTTAAAAAGAAGCGTTAAGCACTTCAGCTGCCTACATAGCTCATGGCATGTTTTCTAAGGAATTCTCTCATAGAACTTACAGTCACCTTGTCACCCTTACATGATTATTCCATTCTCTATATATCATTAGTGTATACTAGTCACTTGCCAATTTGTATTTCCATATATAATTGGTAAAAAAAAAAAGAAATATATATATATGGATCTAATATGACTTAACAATTCTTTAAAACTAGAGCTTTTAACTGTGCATGTATAAAAGAGCCTTGCTACTAAATAGTTTATTTGCTCTTTAGAATAATACAACACAAAAATAATGTGTGCTATTTGAAGCCTGAGTATGAACCTGGCCTCTCCCTTGTGCTTTATTTCCTTATTTGAAGAATGGAGATAGGAGTATCTAGCTCTTAAGACTGTTGCGAGAGTTCAAGGAGATAACTTACAGTCAATTAAAGGATAAATTTCAGCAGGTTAAGATTATCTCACCAGGTGTTTTTTTTCCTATAACCTGACAGTTGTTTTCCTAAAGCTAGTTTAAGAACTGGTAGAGTACAGGTGGCAGAGAATGTGGATAACACGTCAGTTATGAGAGGACATTTCTAGCAGTCCCCCTACTACCTGGAGGAAGGCTCACCTGCAGGGGTTCTTAGGATTCAGTACATCCGGGGACTAGAGTGTGCTGAAACAAGGCAGGATGGCAGGGAGTTAGAGCGCCTAAGCCATCCCTGTGTTGGGGCTGTGATCACCTGTTTGGGGCGTGCAGCCACATTGGGGCACAGGTAGCCCTTTTGGGCATTTCGCATTCAAACACCTTTAATTCAAGACAAGTCTTCTGCAGCCGTATCATGAAAACGTGTCCTGTCTTCACGTCACCATTTTCAGTATGCTTCTGAATTCCCATATTTTCAA